GTTTGAACATATAAGGGGAGTTTACAAAGGAAAATACAAGTGACAAATGGATTTGAACATATGTACCTAGGTGGAAAAGTGTGAGACATTTACTAGTAAAAGCTAAAAGCTTTAAGTACAGAAAAATAGTTAAAAGGGAAAGTGGAGCTCATTGGGTGACCCCAGGTCCCTGGTGCCAGAATAAGAAGCTGGAATTTATTCCTTCAAATAGGTTTTTAAACATCTGATTAACATTTTTAGAGGAGTTTTGATTTAGAGAAATTAACCTGGCTGTGGTTTATAGAATAAATTTTGGAAGCAGCAGACTCTAAAAGCAAGAGGATTCCATTAACACAGAGATAACAGGACTAAAGTTGGATAGTGACCATGATATCAGAGAACACAGAAAAGAGTCAAAAATGCTTTGGAAAAAAATTGGAAGTATTTGGGAAATGATCAAATGAGCCACAAAAATTAAAGGTGCTGAAAGAAATTTTCATCGTTTTATATTACGGCCCTGGAAGGAAATAGAGGACATTGAAAGAGAAGCACATACGGAAGGGGTAGCACATTCTCAGTTCTGTGTTAAACACACTGAGCAGAGTCTGAAGGATTTTTTTTTTTATAGAAAACATCTAGTGAGTAGTTTAAAAAGCATGCAATGCAGAGGGAAGAAGTAAGAAAAGAAACAGATTAAAAGTCAAACTCAGAGTGACAATTAAAGGCATATGACAAATGAGCTTATAAAGGTAAAGTTTTTTTACACATTCCCATGAGCTAAAATATAATGCAAATGTTGCAGTGATTGTTGCAGATGTGCCAGGTGACCTTGATTTCTATTTAATGCTAGTCGTCTGTGCAATTTTGCTGTTCCAGTGTTGCCACCAGCAGTTTTCACTTGTATAGGTGAATTGAGGCATTTCAGCAACCTGTGCATGCTGCTGTATTAAGACAAATATGTAGTAATGTAAATGAATCTTTTTAGAGTATCTTAAATATAAACAGATCAAAAGATGTTTTTAAAGGTGTATAGAAAGAGAAAAGTGCTACTGAGAGACCCTTAGGAGGACGACATTTTGGGACAAAAGAAGATAATTATTAAGCGCACATTTCTAGAAGACAATGTTATAAATTGTATATTGTACTCATGTTGCAGATGTGGAACTAAGAACTTGACTAAGATCTTTCAACTAGCAAAGGAAAGGAAGATGAAGGGGCATCAATAAGAATCATAAAATGAGTAATCTAGTCGGTACAACTAGAGCAATGCAATGGGAGTCTAAGGTGAAAAAAATTTCAAGAAGGGGAGCTGATGAATTGGGTTAAATGTTTTCAAAGAAAGATGTTCAAGAAAGGCTATTGAAGTTCAGAATCAGTAGGGCCCTTTCAGAAAGAAGTTACTGTAGAGGTGGAGCAAGATCCAGATTCTAGTTAGAAAGTCAAGAGGAGTTGAGGGAGTATGTAGAAAGTATTCTTTCAATAAGGTTACCAGGGAAGGGAATAGAAAATATATGTCCCTAGTTTGAATGAGTGGTAGGATGGTGTGAAGATGTATTTTGATTTGGGATAGGACTAAATTGAACAGTTTTATAAGCTCAAGGGGACAGTCTAGAAGTCAAAGGCATAAAACATAAATGTAATAGTCAATAAACAAGTGGCTAAAAGGGTAGTCAGAAAAGATCCAGCTGTGGGGACAAGAGTAAATTCTAGCCCATAATGAGAGGAAAGGAGATATTATTTCCTCTGAGACAAGAGGAAGGAAGAGTCCATAAGAAGACTCTCTCTCTCTCTCTCTCTCATCTATCATCTATCTGTTGAGAGAGAGACATAGGAAGGTAGAGAGTGAGGGAGTTCAGATTTTATGCATTGACTTAATCTCTAGCTTCTAAAGAAGAATCCCAAACTTTTGGAAAAGCTTCAGTTAAAATGATACAGATGAGCAAATAAACATAACTGGTGGCTAGCAGCCTGCACTAAGCAGAGTCACTAACATGGACTTCCAGCGTGACCAGTTGCCCTCATTGCTTTGCCTTTTCAATGAGTCTCTGGGCCTTAGGAGCAGAAATGGATGAGGTAAAGGGTCCGTGTACCCAGGCACTGAGAGTTACAAAACAGAATGAGTTATACGAGGCAAGGACAGAGCCCCGAGGGTGCTGTGCTAGCTTTTCCTTGACGGGGCCGAATCCTGGAGAGGGAGAGAGAGGGAGAAAGCGAGCAGACAATTCCTGAAGGGGGTTTGCTTTCGCAGTATTATGTGAGAACATGGAATAGCTAAGACACCAAATACCAGTGAAGAATAAAAAATGCCTTCCATTGGATTGAAACAGGAGGGCTTATAAAATAGATAGTTGTGTTCGGAGAGGCAGGTTTCAGAATCCGACATCTTGGATATGAAATAGTTCCAAATGATTTTGAAATCCAAAATGAGGGTGTGTTTATGGGGAGCAAAAATTAAGTTATGGACACTCAGGTTTTATGTTTGAATGGTTAGCATCAACAACAAAGATGTAACACATAACCTTATTGCTATTTATTGTGTGCTGGGAGCTGTGCTAAGTGCTTTTCTTCTATTAATTCATCTTCACCTACCTACAGTGTGATAGGTAATGGTCACAGCCATTTAGCTGATTTCTCCCCCACCCAAAATTGTTTCAGTTAGTTGGTTGGTTTGACATTGCATAAACACAATTTTAAAAGGCATATCATCTCAGCTAATTCAACTATAATCAAGGTTTTTAATTTTCTAGGCACCCTGAACACTTAAGGTTTACACAGGCACATATAAATTGTTCATTAGGGATATTACAGAACAGTTAGAACAGAACATGTTGCATAACATGGCTTTGGCTGTAGATATCATTTAAGGAACAGTTCCTAGACTATCTGAGAGAGTTGACATTGCAAAGACAAAAAATTGTCTCTAGCAGCATAATTCCTCAGAAATACAGGACTTTTTTTCGAGTTGTAATTTTATTTTTCTTACTTTTCAAGCGTAAGTGAAACCTAGTTGAGTCACTCTTATGGTTAAATATGTAATTTATCGTAGCCATTTATCATATATTTCTCAAATATTTATAGGAATTATGACCAAAATGTAAGATGAAAATCAATATGTGTATTTAATTTGAATGCATTAGTACTTTGTTAGTAAATAGATAAGTGGATAGGCACTCTAAACTGATCATTAAAAATTCATCACTTAACAGTGTTAAGCACTCGGCTGTATTATGATAGGATAATTGCGGCAGTTTCTGTCCCTCATTTCATTAACTAGGCTATCCGGCACTGTGATGCCTTATGTAGTTATCACCACAGAGTTCCAAAATCCCGGCCAGGTGAGGGCCGCGGCTACCACAATCATCATCTGTTTCGCTTTGTTAGTGTTTCTCATTAAACTCGGAAGGTCAGTGACACTGTTCCTGATAGGAACCAAGCAGGACTGGAAGTAATAAAACAGGTCTGAGCCTGCGAGCCGGGCTCCTCCAGCTGATGGCCAGTTAATTACCTGAGCATAAAACAGTGAGAGCGCTGGGAGAAATCGCAAACTTCGCAGTATGGTCGCTATCCAAGTACAGTATTATTTGGTGGTTTTTCATTGAACTATACTGTTCAATTAGAGGACATGAGCATATCCTGTGGCAGAAGACGATGTAATTTCAAGAAAAGCAAAACGTGATTTTTTACCAATATCAGACTATGTGATGAGCTTTCCAAATCTCAGTCGCTAGATCAGTGCTCCTCATCTTGAACAGCACATTACAGTCCCCTGAGAACACATACCAAAGGCCTGGCCCCTACCTCCTGTTAATTAAATCTGAATTTGTGGAGAGTGGTACCCAAGCAGGGAAATGCATTTTTAAAAAAGTGCCTCAGGTGCTGCTAATGTGCTAAGAAGTTTGAAAATCACTATACACAATTAACGTTCAAAAATCATCATTTCCAGTATACATAGATCCCGTTGTGAACAGCAAGAATTTTCTTTTTTAGTTAAATTTATACTGCTTGTATAGACTTGTATAGTTCACACATCAACGTTGCTTTAATGATCTTTTAAAATTTAGTAATTAACCATTTAAAATGAAACATTTGACTTCTTGGTTCTTATAGAGAAATTTTGAATGCGAGAACCCAAAGGCATTTATTCCTAGGAAAAAGTGTTAGCACCTGTGCCAAATTTACTTTAAACATCTGAATAGCATATGGGCTTTATGTTTATCCAGGGCTATATGATTGATTATATCATTTTAATTAGGTAAAGGGAAGAATAAGGGTTTAGATATAAAGCTCTGATGTTTAAAAATACTTTTGATTAAGAGATTAATCAAAGAACTTATATGTTTATAAGCATAACCCATGGACACAGACATTGGTCTGGGGAAGGCCTGGGGGTGGGGTGGATGCCGGATGGAGGGGATCAATGGGGGTAAAAAGGGGACATCTGTAATATTTTCAACAATAAAGATAAAGAAAGAAACAATAAAGAAACTTAAAAAAAACTTTTGTAATTCTCATTAGATACTGTCTATAAACATTTTATCACATTTAATATTTTTCATATTTAAATAGGTTATAGATCTTTTCATAGAAAAACCATTTTCACAAGTTTCTAGAGTTCACATTAAAATGATTTATAATTAGATGACAAAGGATCACAACTGGTAGTTTCATGACCAGTAATCTCTTAAAGGGTAGTACAGAGAGCACTAACTTCTCTTTGCTTTGGCTTTAAGAAGGACTAGAGATGCCCCCTCTTAAGTGCCCGCTGTTCCTTTCATGTGTCTGGATGATCACTTATAAGAAAAAGAGGCTAACTTAAATTCAGTTTTACAGAAAATATGATAAAATACTATTTAATTATTTTAAAACCTTTTGCACCTTGGCTTTATGTTTTCAGTTTGAGATTTTTGAGTACTATTATTTTTAATGTAAAATGTCTCAAAAATATTTGCTACAGTCTCATTAAACTCCACATATTGTTTTCAAAAGATATTCTTTTCTTTTTGTTTTGTTTTTTCAACTAGGACCCCTACTATGGCTGGTGGCCTATTTTCTATTGACAGAAACTACTTTGAAGAGATAGGAACTTACGATGCAGGAATGGATATCTGGGGTGGAGAGAATCTTGAAATGTCTTTTAGGGTAATTGCATTTTCCTTTATTTTTTGACTCTGAACATACTATGCTGTTGCATGCACATATAGACCTAGTCACTTACTGTCAGACATTTTTGTGAAGTGATGCAAATTACTGATCAGTTGGTCATTTTCATACTTATTTAGAAGCTTAGCTAGAGTCTTCTGCATGCAATATTTACTGTTAAATGGGAAATTTTAGGTATTTTTAAAGTTTTAAAAAATAATTATTTTATTCATAATATAAAGACACTAGGTCTTTCAGTGTTTGAAATAAAGAAGGCTTTATTTTTTATCAATAAAACAGTTCTCTATAAAATCAGTTTGTATTTTTGAACTGAAACTTTGAAGTATTTGTGTTATCTGAATTTGTAAGTGCTGCCTGAGGTTATTCTCTAGTTACTTTAAGAATAACCTGGGTGAAGGGAATTCTGGATAGTTCTGTATGGAGCATGACTACTTTTACTATCATAGACATTGTTGGATGAATCAGTTTAAATAATGAAAATTCACTTATCAAATGACCTTCCAGATTAATAAAAATTAAAGTTTAATCCCTCATATATATGATGTTAGGAAGCATATGAATAATTTTAACATTTTGTCATTGATAAATTTAAAATACAGACATATAAATGTGCTTTCATACTACCAACTAAGTGCTAACATACTGCTTTTTTCTTCAAACCACTTATCATTTTTAAGTGAAATAAGTTAATTGTGCTGTTTTTTCCTTTTTAGAATTTAACATAAAATATTCAAAACACTATTGTTTTGACAAAATTATTTGTGCAATGAAAGTAATAGTTTAGATATGTTTATCTATGATATATATATACACACTTTAGAAAGTAAAGTTTGTTTTCCACTTACACAATATATCTGATGTTCTGTAAGAAAATGTTCAAAATTGAAGATAAGAATTACTTCGATTGTATATAGTGTGGAACTTAATGGATCCTGCGTAATCTGAATTATTTTAGAAGCACTAGAATGGCCTAGTTATAAAATTTTTGCCTATAAACCTTTCTTATAGTCAGATGGCTGAAAACATCATTAATCAATGGAATTTTATTCTTCCCGGATTTGCTTACATACTTACAGTCTATTGCAACTTGCTCTGCAGACTTAGTACCATACTCAGGGGTGTCTTCCTGCATCAGGCACATGATACCTCTTTGAACAATCTTTGGGGACATTTGGGGACCCAATCTTTTTACTTGGTGTGGTTCTGAAAGTGCTAAAAGTAAGAGATGACAGATAAGAAAAAGAAAAGAGAAAAGGGGAAGGAAGGAATTCAAAGCTTAAAAGCAGTTTGCTCGCAGCCTTAGCTATCGCAGTGAGAGGGCCTGCGTGGTCACTAACCAGTCTTCCTGAGGTTGCCCAGGGGGAAGTCAACACAGTGATATCCCTGTCACCTGCAATCCTGCCACCCACCTTTTCCCCTCCTTTCCTGAGGTTCTTACTCGCCTCTCTTCTCTCTCCTGTTAAGCTTGATTCCAGGCCAGTGGACCCCCATGCCTTTCAATCCATAGCTCCCATATTGGATGGGTGCTCTTCGTCTGATTGCAGGATGTGTTAGGGAGTAATTTAGTGGAATAATATGATACAACAGAAGCATGTGATCAGGAAATGCATGTGAAAAGGTATAAATGTATCAAAAAGGAAGATTTGAGAATATGAAATTTGGAAAGTTGATAATATTTGATGCAGATACCAGGGGTGCAGAGTGAATGCAACTGGTGGCCCCAAATATGACCGGATCCCTAGAAAATGATACAGGAGGTTTACTGTGATTGGTTGCTTGAGATTATTAAGAAGTAGAGTATTCATGACTGCTTTTCAGTTGTTTTAAAACATATCATTGACTTTAGTTTCCATAAGATTTCATTAGAAACAATCTATATATTTTGCTTTTCATTAGACAATTTTGATTGGTGTTTATTTTCCTTTCCATGATATGAATAGAACTGTTTCCTTAATGACTAGTACCCTAACTGAGGAAGATAGTGAGAGAAAATGCTGGAACAACATATAACAAAGGACTAGTTTCATGAAAAGATGTGTGACTTAATGAAATGAGACTATGTTGAAGATTTACATCAGAAGACCTGAGACTAATATCCAGCTCAACCATTACGGAGAAAACACATTTTGAACAGACAGTACTTGCTTTACACGGTCTAGATGCTGAGGCCTCAAAAATGAGTAAGGCAAGCTGATCAGTCTGAAAATGCAAAAGATACAGATAATTATAAAAGCTTTGATAAAGAAAAAAGTTAGAGAACTGACAGTACATTATTCCAAAATGTATTATAAAGTTATAACAATTAAGACTCTGTGATATTGGCAAGGGGGAAAAAAGACAGACAATGGAACCAAACTGAAAATCTGGAGTATACCCAATGCATATGGACAACTGATTTTAATGAAATATGCAAAATATATTCAGTGGAGAAAGGATAGTATTTTTAATAACTAGTACTGGATCAACTAGATATCCATGTATATGAAATATATTAAATATGTACCTCACACAATATAAAAAGTTAATTCAGAATGTAAAACCTAAAATTTTAATATTCTAAAAACTTTGGAGAAAAACTTTGCAACCCATAAAAGTAAAAAATTGATAAAATGAGCTTTATCAAAATGGAAAAGTATTGTTCTCCAAAGCCACTGTTAAGAAATTAAAAGACAAGTCACTGACAGGAAGAAGCTGTTAAACAATATATCTGATAATGAACTTGTATTCAAAAAAAGCAAAACAAAACTCTCAGAACTCAGTGATAAGAAAACAATTAACTGAATGAAAAGGTTGCAAAGATTTGAATGGACACTTCACTAAGGGAGGCATATCAATGACAAATAAGCACTTGGGAAAATCCTTAATATTAGAGAAATACAATTACAACTGTAATAAGATAACCTTACACATCTATTAGAAAGACTAAAATTAGAAAGGGCCATGTTGGTGAGAATGTAAAATGGTACCATGATGCTGCAAAAGGTTGACCATTTCTCAAGCAACTCCTAAGTATTTATCCAAAGGAAAGAAAGACATATGTCCATACAAGGAGATATACACTAATGTTCATATTTTATTTGCAATAGCCAGAAGCCAGAAACAATCCAAATGCCCATCAAAGGGTGAATGGATAAACTGAGGTTTGTCCACTAATGGAATACTATTGCTCAGAAAATAAAGGACTTACTGATTGATACAGCCTGCAACATTGCGAATTTTAAAATAATTTCACTGAATGAAACAAGCCAAACAAAAAGATTACATAGCATTTGAATCAATTTATATAAAATTTCAGTTAATGCAGTGACAAAAAACAGATAAGTGACAAAAAGCAGATAAGTTGTCTATGGACTGCATATTGGGGTGGGAGACTAGAGGTGGAAGGAGGGAATTACAAGGGGGCATATGAAAACTTTGGGGGATAATGTATATATTTGTTACCTTGATTGTGGTGATAGCTTCAGGGGTTTCACATAAGCCAAAACTCATCAAATGGTACAATTTAAATATAATCAGTGTTATGTATTTTAATTATACTTCAATAAAGCTGTTAAAATGTTAAAGCAAACACACACACACACACACACACACACACACACACACACACACTGCTGGCATCCTACAAAGAGAAACAAATGAAGGGAAAATGTAATTGATGGTGTCCTCAACCGCAGAGGTACACTTTAGTCTAGATCCTCAGTGCGCCTTAGCCTGTTTACTTTTCAATACCCTACTGATCTGATTCTAATGATCTACCTCTTAAGACAAACTGTGTGGAATTGAGATAATACTTACTGAAGTTTTAAAATAAATTATACTGCACTGCAGAAATATTAGTTTTATTATTATTACCCTTAAAAATTGGAAGCTGCTTTGTCAATAACCAGAATTTTAATTGACAGGATAGAATTTACTTTAAATGATTCATTTTTCTTTGTCTTTAATATCACAGTGAAAACAGCAGTATATTTATCTGAAGGATATAACCAAGTGAAATGTCCTATGATGTGAAATCCACTTATTTCCAAATTGCACAAGCAATGAAGTGAAAAAGAAATGGAAGCTGACATCATAAATAATGGAAAAATGAAAGGCAGACGTTTTTATTGAACAGAATAGTATGGTAAATGAAGCAAAGAAGTTTGTAGACTTTTGGGGATTGTAGTATCCAGGTTTTTTGAAAGTAAAGAATTTTCTAGAAATGTCCACACAGTTTGAAATTTGATAAGTGAACATGTCGATCATAATATGTTAGACAGGAATAAACTTAGACAAAAGTCTAGTTATTTCTTTTAGAACTCTGCCTTTTTTTAAAAAAAACACACCACATAATTCATGCAAATCTGAGCATAATGGATTTTCTGTCTATGTTTCAAACTTGACTGTTTTTGTTTTATTTGTTTGGTCATAAAAAACAGACTTTAATAGAAAAATTGCAGTGAAGTGAATTTAAGTTCATGTTATCCACAATTTTGGTGGAAATGGTTTTGTGGAACACTTTTCTTTAAATAGGATAAAGCACTTTTAATGTTAATACAGAGATTTATTAGCTTCTCTTTTTCCCAGCTTTACTGAGGTATAATTGACAACTAAAAATTGTGTATATTTGAGTTTTACAATGTGATGATTTACTTTAGGTAGGCAAAAGGAGGTTTTTCAGTTCATAGAAAATAATACAGTTGATAAATAAGAATACAAAAATAAACTCTGTTTTGCATACTCACAACTCTAAGCCTACTTTTGCCTACCCTGTACTGTATTGTGAAATGGTTACCACAATCAAGCTAATCAACACATCCATCACCTCGCATAGTTGCTGTGTGTGTGTGTGTGTGTGTGTGTGTGTGTGTGTGTGTGTGTGGCAAGAACACTTAAGACCTACTCTCAGGCATGCCTTGTTTTATTGTGCTTTGCTCCTTTGCACTTCTCAGATATTGCATTTTTTACAAATTGAAGGTTTGTGGCAACCCTGCACAGAG